CAGCGATCTGCACTATCGAAACGCCGTGTTCGTTCGAGTCGAAAGATATACGCGGTGTCAGACCTCAGCGCGCAGGTCGTCGCGACACGAACCTGCCGTACCCAGGGCCATCGAAAGAGGAGGAGGAAACAGGATGCAGAATCCCAGTTTGCGCCCAGACGCGCAGGGTGACCGCGGCGCGCCGCCGAATTGCCCCCCAGTTGATCTTGAGAGCTGGCCGTGGGACGTCGTCGTCTTCGTCGTCGTCGTCGCCGTCGCCCACTCGCCGTAGTTGGCGTCGCCTTCGTCGTCGTCGTCGTTGTCGTCCTTCTCTTTCGCCTGCCCCTCGCCGTCGTCGTCGCCTGTTCGCAGTCGTCGTCGGCGTCGCCTGCCTGCCATCGTCGTCATCGTCGTCGACGTCGTCGTCCGCGGCGGCGGCGCTTTGGCGCGAGCTCGCACGGGACACAACCAGGAGCCATTAAAATGTTAACGATTTCACAGTTACTTGTTCAGGCTTGTGGTTTGGGGAACATGTCGCACGAGGCAAACCGGTCTTGAACAAGAGGGGTCTTGGCGGTGTCTCTTTGCTTCCAGGCCCTTCTGGGACCCAGGGGCAGCTCAGGAGAAGAAACGGCCGTGACGGAGGGGCCAGAAGGCCCAGGCAGGAAGCCCAGGGGTGCAGGGAGCCGTTTTCACCAGGGCATGGCCCACTTCGATCCGATCGATCCGATTCGGTATTGTTTTCGGCACGCTCGATTCGACTCGATTCCGATATTCTGACAGCCCGGTGCGGCCCGATCCGACGCAAATCCCGAGTCGACCCGATTTCCCAATTTTGTGCTGAGTGATCCTGCCAGGACTCCCGTTCCCTCATGCCAAGCGTCGGCAGCGTCCAAGCGATCCCCACCTCCACTGAGCCATGGTGTCTCAGCCCCGCCAGCCTGCCACCCCCCCCGGGTGGGGGCAGGTCTCGCGATGCCCGAGGGGAACGCACATCCCCACTTCCACGGGCAAGTCGGTAAGTTGGATCCAGAACTAGTCCTACGTCGGGCCTGTCCCTCGATAGGAGGAGTATCCAAGAGTAGTCAAACAATAGTCTGGAGACGACTTGATGTATTTTTGAGCATTTGCTGTTTTTCTGATTCGTTTTAAGTTTCATCCAAACTCCGCCTGTAGGAGGACGTGCTCGACCCAGAACTAGTCTCCTGGCATTATCCCGCCCGAGGGTGGCTCGCCCAGTCTGCAAAGCAGTCAGGTGGCAAGAAGCATCTCACATATAGCAGAGCGCGACGGGGAATAGCATCAGCGCAGATGTGCGCCCCAACCTGGAGAGCATCTGGGCCCGAGAGCCACTTCGAGCGGCGTGTGTCGCGTTTTCGCCCCGATCCAGGGAAAATATCGAAGACGCCTACAGCGAATCACCGCCGCCCCCTGCCTTTTGGAATCGCCCATGTTACCGACCGTTGTGGCAAGAGCTCTGCCAAGCTATCGGACCATGTGTTTCCCCAGCCGTTGTGGAGACCCTTCGGGAACACTTGGGGGAGGATAGCGGGAAGATGAGGAGGAGGGGGAGGAGGAGGAGGAGGAGGAGGAGGAGGAGGAGGAGGAGAAGGAGGAGGAGGAGGAGGAGGAGGCATCTTAGGAACCTGTGGGGGCACTCTGGGGCCTCCTGGTAGTTTCCTCGGAGCCTCTCTGAGGCATCTTGGGGGCATTCTTGGGTTCTTGGGTGCCTTGGGGGGCTTCTCTGGGGCCTCCTTGCCCGTCGTAGGGCGTTCTGGCCCCGCTGACGCCGTCGGAAGCCATCTTGGGGGCATCTTTGGGCCGACTTGGGGCCCTCTCGGGGTGCTCCAGGGCCGTTTGGAGGGCATATTGGGCGTCTTGGAGGCCTCTGGGGCCGTCTTGGGGCCCTCTTGGGGCGATCTTTGGGGGCTCTTGGGCGGTTCTGGGACCATCTTGGAGACCTCTTCGACGATCTTGGGGCGATCTTTGGGGGCTCTTGGGCCATCTCGGGCCGTCGGAAGGCCGAAAGGTAATACATGCTACAATCCCCTCACCTCTGGAAAATAATTGATTTTAGCCCCTTCGGGCCATCAGGAGGCCCTCTTGGGGGCCTCTTGGGCCGTCTTGGAGGCCTCATGGTGACCTCTTGTGGATCTTTTGAGACGTCGTAGGCCATTTTGAGGCCATCTTGGGCCGTCTTGGTTGCATCGTGGGTCCATGTTGAAGTCTCTTGCGGGCCATCGTGGCCGTCTTGGACATCTCGGGCGTTGGAGAGGCATCTTGGAATCCATGTCTGGTCATCTTGGGCGAGAAAGGTACTGACATGTACATTTTCTGGGTGGCCGGCGCGCTGGGCCGAAGCCCCAGGGGGAGCTCCCCTATGGAAAAGAGCCACAGCCCAAAACCGTTTAGGATCTAGCACGCCCAGCACCCCTGTGGCAAGCCAACAGTGGGAGGCGGCTATCTAGTGGCCTTCGGCCTATCCCGCCACCGCGATTGGCTTTTGGGTCAGAGGCTTCTTGGATGCTTGTTGGCATCTCCTGGGACTTCTCTCGGACGCCTCTCGGGTGCAGTTTTGTGGGTGTCTTGGGCCTCTAGTGGACCTCCTGGGCCTTCTTGGGGCCTCCGTGGACTTCTCGAGGCACGGAGGCGGATTTGTGGGACCAGTCAATACCGTTCAACCGACAATTATTCCCATCCGCATCCCGATCCCCCCCATCCCACCACCACAGTTGGGAATATGCCCCTCGAAACCTGGAAGGGACAGCCTGTCATCCCCATCTAGCGAGGTAAGTCGGCCAGTGGGGCCCAGGCCACGCCAATGGGGATAGGGATCTGCGAATCGATGCTCAGCCAGGACCAGGGCCCAGCTGGGGATGCGAGTCGGTCGAACGACGTTCCAGCCAGGGTCGGGTATGGCCAGGACCCCAGGTAAGGGGACCCGGTTAGTGGTAGGACCCTGGAGCCCCTGAATCGGCCAGAATCACTAAACCAGGTTTGCCGCAGCTGGTGTTTTCTCGGGTGACGGCAGTTCCGGTTAGTGGAACGGGACGGGGGGGCGTCCCCCGGTACGCATAACTAAACCAGGTCCCACTAAACCCGGTTCTGCCAACGCCCGACAGGGGCCAGTGGGGACGAGGGCGCCCCACTGCGGCGTGCGAGCGCGCGCCGCCGGCCCGCAGGTGGCTGGGCGCCCAGCTCCGCGGGCGCGGCGGCTGCCAACACGGCCTTCGCCGCCGTCGCGCCCGCGCGGTCGTCGGCGTCGGTGTTGGCGATGGCGTCGGCGGCGTATTGTCGTGGGCGGCGGCTTCGTTGGCGTCGTCGGAGAAGAGGGAGGAGGGAGGGGGGAGGGAGCGGGGGGGACGGGGAGGAGGGGGAGGGAGGAGGGGGAGGAGGGAGGGAGGGGCAGGGAGGTGGTTACCGAGGCGGGGTGGGAGAAAGTTTGAGCTCGCCGCACGTTTGTGGGGGCGCGATGCGCGGACTTGGGTGATCTCCTATGGGATCCTTGGCCCGACCCGACCTCGCCCCCTGTCCTCGGCCCCGGCCGGCCCCACTGGGCCCGCTTGTTGCAAAGCACCACGTCTGCGACGAGAAGCTGTGAGGTGGTGGCCCTGGTTGTGATGCAGCAGGTCGCTGGCCTGCTGCGCCCTCCCAGCCCGACCCGACCTCGTCCCTTCGGCCCTCGGCCCGTAGTCTAGGACTCTTCAATGGAGTCCGAGTAGATGGGGCCGCTGGAGCGCGCCGCATCGCCGATGCACCGGGGATGCAACCCGACGTGGAGCCCGGCGTTCTCCATGCCGGCGTCGCCGATGCATCGCCGACGTCGCTGATGCATCGGCGATGCATTGTCAATGCGTTGGCGATGCATCGGCGATGCGCCGGCGATGCGGCGCGCTCCTCTGACACGATCTACCCTTCAGGCCCTCGGTCCCTGGCCGGCCCCGGGGGGGCCAGCCGCGCGGCTGTGGGGCAGCACGCCCGTCGTGCGCCGCTCGCGCCGCCCTCCGCGCCGCGCTGCCCTCCACCCCTCCCCCGCGCGCCGGCTCGAGAGCGCCGCGGGCGCGCACGCCTTCCATATCACCGGGGGCGTCCGAAAGGGGGGCGGGGTCTTCATCGGGGGACCCGTGATTTGGCCCTGGCCCTTCCTCCTCCTCCCCGTCCTCCTCCCCGTCCTCCTCCCCGTCCTCCTCCCCCTTCTCCCCGTCCTCCTCCTCCCCCTCCTCTTCCTCCTCCTCCTCCTCCTCCTCCTCCTCCTCCTCCTCCTCATCCCGTCGTCCTTCTGTTATGGTGCCCTGCCCCTGGGGCCAAGCAAGGCATGAGGGTGCACACCCGACTTGTTTGGTTGATGCTCCAGGGAGGCACAGGCTTAGGACGCGTGGGCCACCGACGCCCGGTTGAGGACTCGCTCGTTCGGTCGTTGGGGGGAGCGCTCGTTGGCTTTTGGTGGCTTTCTTGCCTCCAGGCGTTTTCCAGACGCTGCGCCTCGTCGAGCTTTCTCCAAGGCTGCCCGACCCGTCCAGAAGGCCGCCGGAGGCCGAGTTGTCACTGGAGAGAGACCAGGCGTCGAGGAAGCTAGGGGTGCGTGGGTACCACGGTCGGGGCCACGAACTTTCGCAGATGTGGCATGGCCCCCTCTTGCTGTTCCAACGCGGTCCCTGCCCCTCCTCTTTCGCGCACGTGCCTCGGGCCATGATGCTCTCTTCCTCTAGGTCTCACTGATGGGGTCAGAGCAGATGGGTCGGAGGATCGCGCGGCGTTGCCGATGCATCGGCGAGGCGGCTCGATGTGGAGCCCGACTTCCTCCACGCCGGGTGCGCCGATGCACCGCCGACGTCGTCGGTGCATCGCCGATGCATGGCTGATTCATCGGCGATGCGGGGCGATCCTTCGTCCCCACTTCCTCGGACTCCACTGTCGTCTCAGCACGTTCCGCTCCCCCCCTCGCTTGTCTGCGCACATGCCTCTGGCCACGGTGCGCCGAGCCATCCTCCGTCTCGGCCCCCCTCTTCGGCGCACCCGGCATCAGACTATATATTTATTACACCGGTGCCCGCGCCCACCCCTGCACGGTGTCAGCCGAGGACCGCGCCCCGCCCGCCGCGGCCGTTGCGCGCCGTCGCCCCCGCGCCCCCCCCCGTTTTCGCCCCTCCCGGCCTGCCACCGTCCCTCCCCCGCCCCGCCATCCCGCCTTCGACAACCAGGTCAGGTCAGGTCAGGCCCCGGAATTGTTTTTCTAGGTCCGGCGGTGACCTGGGTTATCGGGCCCGCCGCATCCCCCCCTCCCCACTTTCAGGAGCGAAAGAAGGACGTACACGTACATGAATACACGCTGGTTTCGAGAGTACGCATTGCGCGAATGTTCGTATCACGCGGCCGGTCTCGCGGATCGAGGGGCCGTGTTCATGTACATAGTTGGGCGCGTACGTCTTTTTGTGGGCTCCCTACACTGGCGCATGCGCAGGTCCGAAGGGGGTGCAGAGTATTGATTGGCATGCGCTGGCACACGTGGGGCTTCCCAGAGCGAGCAGGTCTGTCCTCGGCCGGCATAGCCCCCCGCCCCCCTTCCAGATAACAGTGCTATTGGCGAAAAAGTATGTTGCTTCGAGCGATCCTCACCGAAACCTTCGGCGTTTGTTCCAGACGTTGCGCGCGTATTGAAACGATGCGCGCAGGGCCCAGTGGTCTCGGCAGCGAGGCGGCGGGGCCAGCTCGCAAGTTGCCGTCGTCCCAGAATCCAACAGTCCCAGGTCGTCGTAGGAGGAAAGGCCCTGACGAGAGAATCCAAAACAAACCCTGGGGCGAAAAAACAAATCCTGAAACGCGTGGTGCGAGCGAGACCCCAAAACTTGTTCGGAGAGAATCTGCATCCTGTTGAAAGAGGACGAGTCGGAGGATGAGGCCATGCGATGTTCGTTCGGAATCTGCCCAAGTGCAGGTCACTATGCTCTGCTTTGTTATGCTCTGGACGGGCTGGCGTGACGTCGTGATGCCTGTCACGTTACATACGTCGTCTAATCGGTTGGTGCTTCGCCTGTTGGTTCATGTGGACAGCCTCCCCTCTGCGCGCACGTCGCGCTTGATCATACAATAGTACGGAGTATTATGTGATGATTTCCCGTGCCACTCATGTTTTCTCTTATGTTGAAGTATGCTCTGCTACGCCACCTCTGTCGCAGTATGATTGGGTATGTTATTTCATGAGTTGTTCCGGAGCACCATGCTATGACATGATATGTTATGTCAGGTTATGAGTTTGTATGCTATGTTCAGTAATTCTGTTCATGTGACGCCCAGTTCATTGCTGCGTATATCTGATCAGCCTTGGCTTGACATAATTATTTGACTACGTTCTTGTCGATTGTGTCAATTTCGTTACCGCAGTTGCAGCGTAATTAACACATTATGGTTTGTTTATCTGGTTACGCCGTTGTATGTTCTCTGTATGATGCTATGGCATGTATTGCATATTGGAGTCGATGATGCCATAGTGCAATTGGTTCCTACGTTGTACCAATAGTGGGACACTTCTGATATGGTATGGCATGGGTTGTGACTGTGCTGCGTTATGGTATGTAATGCGTTGGTATGTACGTTATGCTCGATGCTGCGTTCGGTCATGATCTGTTCCACCGCCGCTTGTTAGTTTACGTTATGCTATGTTAGGCTGCGCATTTTTATTCAATACGATGTTACATCGCGCTCTGACATGGTGTGGTTTGTCATGTTGTGGTATGGTCTGTGCTGCGGTGCTTCGGGGTGCAATGCTATTGTATGTCTTGTTGCTGCAGAGGCTTAATGTCACGTGACACGCCTGAAGTATTTTGCGATATGTATGATACGTCTTGGTAGATTGTTCCCAGAGCAGAGCTTGTCTCTGTAGGGGTCCTAGCGGATTCATACGGTTAGGTGAGCTTTGCCACCGATTTCCGCGGCCCGCCCCCCTCGGAGGCTCAAAACATGGCGTCCTGGTGCCGTCTTCGGGCGCTCTGGGGCGCCCTTGGGGCCGTCTCGTGTCCCTCTTGGGCCCCCCTCGGTGCTCTGTTCGGCCGTCTTGGGGCCATCTTGAGGCATCAAGAGCCCATCGGAAGCGAAAATCATGCGAGAAGGCAGAGCACATAGGTTGTCCTTAGGTTTTTTGGGAGCCATTGTTGCCTCTTGGGGGCTTCCTTTGGGGGCTCGAAGGGTACGAAACCGTCTTGGAGCCTCTTGGAGATATGTCGCAAGCTATCTTGAGCCATCTTCGACTGGCTTGGCCCATATTGGAAGCCATCTTGGGCTCTCTGAAGTCCTCTTGAAGCCATTTTGGGCCATCTTGGGGACGCTCTAACCTTTCGCGGGGCGCCACGTTCAGACTTAGGGGAGGGGGTAGGGTGAGGGGCAAACCCCTCCCCCGAGCAGGGGAAGGATGGATTTTGGGCACCTACGCCCAGAGGGCTGGTGGGAGTTCTCTTTCCGCCGTCTCGTCGTTTTCATTTTCCTCATCTTCGTTACTTGACACTGGCGGAACAGCACCCCGACCCCCAGAATTGGCGTTCACGAACCAGTCCTGGGCGTTTGCTGGACAGTCCTGCCCTATTCGATTTCTCTTTTGGGGCCGGGGCCACCTCTTCACCGTTTCTAGTCCTTGCCGGTTCCCATCATTCCCATCTAGTTTTGCCAGCCTGGATACCTCATTCTAGCTGTTCCGGGCTCCCTCATTCGTTGTTCCTCGCCACTTTCACTCCCACGGAACTTCCAGCCTTCACTGTTGCACTCCAGCTTTTCTGTGTGTTTGCTTTCTTCTCTGCCTCCCACCCTCCAGAGATGGCAGCCTTGTACGTTTGGGCAGCTTTCGTTTTTTCAGTGCCTTAGCGTCCGCTAGAGTTTGGTAATCGATGAGAACGCCCAGATTTGCGTCGATGAGCGTCCATGTAGCGGGGCCAGCGTCGACTCGCAGGAGCCAGCAAGATGGCACGGGAGGCTCCGATGGGTTGCCACAGAACCCATCCCCCCCCCCTCCCGCCCAGGAGAAAGGAAGCAGGCCCACCCGGCGGCCATGCCGGCGGCGCCGGCCGGTGGCCCCATCACCTTCCGGGGGGCGCCGCAGGGCGCTCGGCCTTCGCCCCTTCTGTCAGTCCTGGCCCTCTCGGGGCCTCTCGGGACCCGTTCCGATCGGTCCGATTCGATATCGGTCGTGGCCGGCCTGGTCCCGTCCGATTCGATTCCTATACTAGTGATCTGCCTCCAGCCCATCTCGTCACGGTGCCTGGGTTGTGGGTCAGAGTTCGCAGGGATGCTTTTTCGTGTCTCTTCAGGGCGCTCTGGGTGGTCTCTTGGGGGCAGTTTTGGGGCTTCTTGGGGGCCTTTCGAAGGCCTCTTGGGAGCCACTTGGGCCCTCTCGGGGGCCTCTTGGGGCCTCCTGGGGGCCTCCTGGGGGCTCCTCGGAGCCGAGGGCTCGAAATGTTTGTTCGTGTTTCCCATCTGGGCCCCCTCTTGGGGCCGTCTTTGGGCGCCTCTTGGGCCGTCTTGGGGCCCTGTCTTGGGGGCCTCTGGGGCAGTCTTGGGTCAATCTTGGGCATCGTGGGCCGTCTTGGAGCGTCGGCCAGCCGCAGGCGAGAAGACCAGAAACTTCCAAAGGAAAATCAAAGATTGTTGCCTCTTGGGACGCCTCTTGGAACACTCTGGGGACGTCGTCGGGCACCCTTGGGCCGTGTTGAGGACACCCCGGACGCATTGGGGCCCTCTCTTGGGCCTCCTCGGAGGCATCTTCGGCCCTCCACGCTTGGCCAGCTGCGCTGCAGGAGGGCGCGCGCGACACGCCTGGGGAATCCCTAGAAATCCCAGGGAATCCCGGGGAACCTGGGGCCCGTAAAACAGTTTTAGACCTTACAAGTCTGAATTGTTCAGGGCTGTATGAGCCTTAGGGCACTCAACCACGTGCTGAAGGCACGCACACGGCGGCGGATTTACATCATACACACACATCGATTCCCACGATCCGATGCGGCCCGACGCTGGCAATGCGCGGCTGTGCATCCTGGCGCCGCCGACTCGATTCGATTCCGAGTCCGCGTCGATGCGGCCCGATTCGAGGCAAGCTTTGGTCCGATTTGGCGATTCGATGCCCCTCGTGCGCGCCACTGCCCATAAGCACACGCGGACGGTCCCGCAAGGGTCGGCCGCGTGCGGGCCGAGCGAGGATTAGCGAGGAGGAGGAGGAGGAGCAGGAGGAGGAGGAGGACTGGACGTCCGGAAAGGAGAATGAGAAAGAGGCCTCTGGTTGCGCGCTCCGTTGGTCGATACCCGCGGCGCCATCCGCGAGGCGCCAGGTACATCCCATCCCGCTGTCTGGAGAACATCCTCCTATCTGGGGGAGAGCTTCTCCCCGCTTGCGCGGCAGACTGGCACGCCCCCCAGGGGTAGCGACAGAGGGGGGGATCCGTCAAGAGGGTGTGCGTCGAACCCCAGTCGCCCATTCATCGCCGATGATTGGCCGATGGCCGACCCCGCGGGAGGGGGGGGGAATTTCGGGAGGGGGGGGGGTCGGGGGGGGGGGGGGGGTTTTTTTTGAGGATTCCCCGACGACGGATCGGGAAAGGGGGGGAGGGGGGGGGTCCCCGACGACGGATCGGGGAAAGGGGGGGGGGTCCCCCCCCCCCCCCGTGGGGTCATCCATCGGCGCGCCCTCCCAGAAGTCCCAGCCCGTTCCCCAGGGCCGGCTTTTCACCCCAGAGCCGTTATCCGGCGGCCCTTGGGACCCGGCGTGTGCCCCGCTCCCCGATGGCCGAGAGCGACGAGCAAAACCCCGTACTGATTCTTGGTGAAGACGTTCGATGCTTGCGGGTGGAGGAGGCCATGGGGCAGGCAGCCTGTGCGCGCCCGAGTCACCGGGACTCGATCCAGTGCTGGAGGATCGAGGAGGAGGGAGGAGGAGGATCGAGGAGGAGGACGTCTCTTGGGACGTCTCTTGAGGTGGGGGGGGGCGCCCGTGGCGCCCCCCCACCTGACTCGGACGCATCCCGCGCCCACGCGCGGCGGGCGACACGCGGCCGTCCCGCGCCCCCGCCGGCGCGCGCACTGCCGCCGGCCCTCAGTGCCCGCGGCGCGGCAGCCTGCGCCGCTCGGCGTGGCTCGCGAGCCTTGCTGGTGGTCCGCGCCTCCGCCGTGCCCCAGCGTGCTGAGCGGGGCGATGCGCGCTGCCGTCTGCGGCGCACGCGGCTGGGCTGTGCACTAGCCCAGGAGGAGGCGGATGGAGGGCTGCTGGCTACCTCCTCCTGCGGCAGGCGCGGTGCGGGCCACCTTGGCGGGCTGCTGCACCTCGCCCACTCCTAGCAGCTGCCGCGCCCGCCGTACCGCGCGCGGCTGCTGCTTATCGCCTCCTCTGGCGTCCGCGGTTGCTACCGTGGCTGCCACTGGCTGGGTAGCGTGGTGGATCTGCTCCTCCAATCGGTCCCTCCAGTCATCACGGTTTATCGTAGCCTGTTCGTCGACTGGTCTCGGCGCAGCATCTCCTTCTTCAACAGCGCTGCATGCCACGTCCACGCAGGGGCTGGGCCGAGCTGCTGCCGCTGCCAGGAGCCGCGCTACTGCCTCGGCCGTGCCAATCCTGGCTCTGCCATCGCCTCCGCTGCTGCCAGGCTGGCCATGGCTGTTGCGAAGGATCTGCGGCTGAGTGTCAGGGCTGCCCTCGCCGCAGCGCCTGAGGAAGGTCCTGGCCATCCGCTGCTGGTCTTCGGTGAGCACCTGCCCTTGCTGCCGTCGCTCGCGGATTTTGGTGCGCTGGACCTCTCGGAGGGTGACGCTGCGGCCCCAAGCTGTGCGGCTCATCTTCTCCGCGAGCTGCTTCTTGTAGTCGCAGTAGTCGTCCTCGTCCGTCGTGTCGAACAGGTCGTCCATGTCCTTGGCCTCCAGCTGCTCCAGCTCCTGCATCACGAAGGGGACTAACCACATCTGTTGCTCGTCCAGCTCCTCGTTTCGCAGGAACTCGGGGGGAAGCCATTCAGCTCCGATCAGGCCTATGGTCCTCGTGAGCTCGTCGAGGCGGTCCCTGCGCCCTGACGGCATCGAGCGGGAGCGGGTCCTGGCCGATGGCTGTCCTGGGCAGTCCTTCTTGATGAAGAGGGACTTGGTGACGTGATCCGCGCTGACGTGGAGCTCACCCTGTAGGAGCTCGATGCTGTCGTCCACGTGGCTGCGAGAACTCCTGTTTAGTACTTCCTTGAGCCTGGCCTCACGGCGGGCTGCGGCAGCTGCCATGGCCTCTCTGGCCGCCGGGGATCCTGTCGCGGTTTGCGCGTCTGGGCTGGCGTCAGGTCCCGCTGGGCGGCGCGCCTTACTCTGTGGCTTGCCTGCAGTCCCCTGCGCGGGTCGCTTGGTCGCATTCCCGCGCGCGTCAGCCTTGGTGCTGGCTGGCGCCTCTGCCTCCTCGTGCGGCTGGTCTGGCTGAGCTTCTCCGTGATGGGGATCGTGCTCTTGCACCTCACGCTGCTGTGGATGCTCAACGGCTGCTGGGTGCGCCCTGTTGGTGTGGCCCGCTGGCCCCGCGGCGGTCTGCATGAGCTGCGTGCCGTCTTCCTCAGGTCGGTCGCGCCCGCCTGCTATAGTCCTTCGCCAGGTCTGCACATTAGTGTTTCGGCGTCGGTGTTCAGCTCCTGGTGCTCCTTCGGCTTTGGGCTGGTCGACATGTTGTGCGTTGCGCGTCATCAGGTCCGTCGCTGCTTCATCCTCGGTGGCCCCTGCCTGGCTGGCGGGGCGCTGCTGAGCCTTCAGCGGGATCTTGCCCAGCGTGTGGTAGCAGTTGTGGATGGGCCTGGCCAGCTCCGCCGTGAGAGGGTGCCGCATCAGGATGGTGGTACTAGTCTTCATCGCTGTCTGGTTCGGGCGCCTGGTCCCAACTAGGCCATGGTCGCCTCCAGCCCTCCGTGACAAGCCTGTTGGGGATGTAAGCTGGTCTCGGTAGCGCGGGTGCTGGTTCTGTGGGTGGTCTTTGCCAGACGCCTGCGGCAGCGCCGTGGGGCGGGGCCCACTCTGGTGGCTGACCTCCAAGGGTGGTGAGCTCACCGTTGAGCGTGTCCGTCATCGCGCGGTGGACCTCATCGAGGTTGGCCCAGTGCAGCGCGACCACGTGCAGCCATTCTCCAACCTGAAGGGGCTGGATGTGGTCCGTCAGCCTCTGGCGCATTGTCTGCGTGCCGATCCACGCGAGGTTGATGATGCCGCGCACATAATTGGTGGTGCCGTCGATACCTGCGATGAACTCCACTCCGTCTCGTAGGCGCCTGTGGACAGGGTTGCTGAGTAGCGCCATGACTTACTGGTACCCCCATGCCGTCCATGATGTTTGCCCCGCTTCTGGCGCAGTGAGGTCGTGTACCCACATGGCCGCGTAGTCTCGCAGTTGTTGGCTGAGGGCGGTCAGGCTGAGGGAGTTGTGTGTTGACCAGGTCTCCTGTGCCCCGTCGTCACTGCCCATGGATTCGTTGCAGGTTGATTGCGCCCGCCTCCGTCCTGAGCGCGGGGGCCTGGATCTCGGTGCGTCTGGCTCGACTGGCCCTGATGGCTCAGCCTGCGCTGGGGCTTGGGGCGGCCCCTCTGCACGAGTCGTTTCGTCTGGTGCAACTGTTGCGTCCTCTGTTGCAGCTGCCTGCACTGGGGCTTGGAGCTGCTCCGCTGCTGGGGCCGCTGTGACCTGCGCATCTGCGGGGTTTGCTGCTACTGGTTGCTGAGGTCCTTGGATGCCCGTCACGTGCTGCTGCTGCTGCTGGTCCAGTACCCTTGCCGCTGCCGCTGGGGTGCCTCCTGCTGTCCCGCTGGATACGTTGTCAGCATGGGAGTCGTTGCCAAGGTTATGTTCCTGTGGCTCGGCGCTGGCGTTGGACCCATTCTGGTCGGCGGAGATGTAGTCCGCTGGGCTGCTGGGGTGCCCTACGCGGAAAGCCTCGCGGTGGTGCGCCTGCTGCCTGGGGATGAGGAAGGCCCTTGCCGCGGCCTGGCAAGCGGTGAGGCGCTGGATCGCACTGGTTAAGTCATCGCCATCCTGGGCGCGCGCGTGGGCCAGCCGCCGTTCCCGCATGATGTGTCCACCAACCCATCCACGGTCGCAT